GGTATACTAAATGATAAAAAAATAGCCCAATGGCTAGTGAGTGGCCAAAAACCTCACATTTGTTACTCCAAACAAACTCCAATAGCATAAAGAAAAAAGATCAGTTTCCAGCACTGTTGCTACAAGATCAGTCATGCTCTGTACGAAAGAATTTGCTTCTGATGGAAAATGCAGCAGCTACTTAAAATAAAGTTCTATCTTCCTGGTATTTGCCAGTTTTCCTTTCAATTCATACTTTTTCCCTTGAAACTGGTTTTGCCTGTTTGTGGTATTGTTTTAAATAAATAACTAAATAAATTAATTAATTAATTAACTTTGTTTAACAAGGGTAACACACAACAGTCTTACGACTGACAAATGATTAGGCACCTTAAGCAACAGATGTCGCTGGCCTGACGACGGCAACCGGAAATGTGCCATCTCTTTCGAGACATCACTGTGCATGTACAACACGCTGTGACCTGACGCTGCCCTGAGGTTGAGAACGTGAGAATGTGGGGTTTCACGTCGCGACTAAAACATGAGTACTTAAGACCGAGTTTACCAGNTAGAGTCACCCTTGGCCTAATGAAATCAAGAGTAAAATTTTTGGCGTCTGTTATTTTTTGGTAACAAAAGCTGTTCAAACAACATGACAAGAGGCTAGTTTTAACGAAGAGACAAGGGAGAAATCTAAAAATGTTAGATATTATAGAATCAGTTTATCAAAGTTATTTCTATGTTAATGTCATCAACAAAGTCTTAGGATATTATTTGGGGCAGTGGAAGCTCAATGAATGCAAACCCCAGGTACATGTGTACTATTAGAAGTACCATCCATTTTAAGCTTCAAGACTATACACTCAAGTGGTGACAATTATGAACTCAGAGGAGTGTAGATTAGTACAGAAATAACTGCAGTGAACAGTGTGAGAGAAGAACACAACTGCTCTTGTTAACAATGCTGTGCTGTAGGGCTTTATGTCATGTGTTACTCAGTAGCAAAGCCTTAGGCATAATAATTAAATACCAAATGTGACAGTGACTCCAATCTCCCCTAACACATATATGTGGTCACAACTCAAATCAACTTCAGTACAATTATCATAGCTTTCACCTTCATCTATCGGTCAGTTCAAATAAGCAATATTTTCATGATGAAATATATATATATCAGTATGATTACAGTTTCATGATATTTCTTTGAGACATGCCTCTATTAGCATGTACATATCACACATGCTATTTTTAAAACTGCTGCGCACTGCAATTCACAATGATCAACAATCGTAGAAGCATGTATAGCTACAGCCTGACTTATGATCTTAGATCGTACTGTGTTTATTCAAAACTGTCCTTAGTACATTAATACGTTAGTTTACAACCCTTGTTTCAATTCAAAACTTAGTACGTTAGTATGACCCTGCTTCCATACAAAGGTCTACAAATAGGGTGTCTTAAATCTGCACACCATAGTTGAAACTCATAAAAAAAAAATTTAAAAAATGGTTGAAACTCATTTTTCCAAAATCAATCGCACCAAACGCTGTCAATGATCGTCAATTCATCGTTGGTTTTGTACCTGTCTTTCCCAGCCAAAATTGATAAAACCGCAAGTTGCCTGAACCATATCTATGCAAAGAATGGTTACACAGGAGTGTACCGACTCACTCTATACCCTTGTGTCCATGTGACTTTGGTCACAAGGACACAAGGCAAGAAATGGGGGACAATTTGTCCTGTGTAAACAATAACTGTATTTTAACTAGTTATAATAATAACAACAATAACAATAACAATAACAGTAACAATAACAATAATAATAAAAACAATATTTACAGAGGATATCACCAAGTTAATGCTAAGTTATTGCATTTCTTTCTCTGTAACTTTCTATTGCCTTTGTGATTGTACTTAAAAGGAGCTCAGTCACGGTATTTTGGGTTATTTTGGCCACATACAAAATTACCTTTAAACGGTAGGAAACCTGAAAATAACAGTTTAATAAGACAGAAAAACACCAAAGAGATAATGATAAACCATACAGGAACAAGGATGGCTAAGGATGGAGAAGATTAACACAGATTACAAACAACAAATTTGAAAAATTGAGGCTAAACTTTTCAATGTGCGCAAACCATGACTGAGTCCCTTTAAAATATAAGTATTGTCCATTTTGTTTTGTATTGTAACTTAGCTGTAGTATTGTAAGAAGTGTAAGTGCCCTAATAGAAATGCTTCATTAGTAGTAGAGTGCAGCTGTTTCACTGTGCCATAGTAAGTTTTTTGGTCACAGGTCTGCATGATTGAATCAAATGTAGTCTGTTGACTGTTTTGCATGTTGTATATACCATTGGCTTTGTTCAGGCAAGACCATGGTTTCGATCCTCCATGTGGATCTCATCAGTTGCTATTATTTAATTTTCTGTACTGCTACATCTGTAGTCGCTAGCACAACTTGTACATATGCGAGAATGCTTGACATTCTGCAGCTTAGCACAAACTTCTCATGGTATGTACCTTTGAGACGGATTGAAAATACCTGATTTCTATAACCCATGCTGTATTTGGAGAAAACGATTGATTAAGCAATTAAAAGATTGGAAATGCATTATGTAGAGCAGATTAGTATAACAACTAATCAGCGTATGTTCCAAACATTCCAGGAACACCACCTGGAGTGCAGAACAAGATTAACACCGCCGCTACGTAGACATCTCCCTCCCAATTTTTTTTGGGGGAGGGAGCAGATGTACACAGGCTAAAATTTGCTTCCTTGAATTAGTGAAAATATAAGCAAACAAAGTCAAAATACTCAATGAAAATGTAGACAAACAAAGTCAAAATACTCAACGTTTGGTAAACATCTTAGCGTGTAAAAGTCATATGGTTAGGCCCAAAGTAGGGCTTGGACTGTTCAGAATGATGTTCACATTGCCAAAACTCTATCAAAAAGAACTCGCAGCTAAACTTCACAGAAACTTTGCAGCTTAAATTAAACTGCACACATCATGTTATTTATGCACAGCTGTGCGTACATAGAGATTTTTACCATGACGGCTCATTAGGAATTAGGCAGATCCAGCGTGCATGCCACATGCATATTACATGTATAACACAGTATTTACATACTTCCTTAGGAGAGCATGACAACTGTGTTTCACTGATCCATGTTGCATCTGTTGTTTTAATAACTCCATCAACAGTCAATTCACACTTGTATGAAGCACCAGCCTGGAAAAAGAATGCAAATTCATCAGGCAACACATCAACCACATACAGTCAAACAGTTTACTAGTACACAGTGAAACCTGTTTTAAGCGGACACCCTTGGACATGCACTAGTGTCCACTTAATACATGGTGTCTGCTCTATAAAGGTCCTAATTTATTGTGCTTAATAGTTAATTATTAATCATTTTGAAACGTGCGCATTTATTGATAACTCTATTTCATCACTGCCTAGTTCCTAGGCCTCAATATTTGAATATTGTACTTAGCTTTACTGTGACATCGCTAAACAATGTTACAGGAGTCTGGGCTGAGCTTTTAGAAGTAAAAAGCCCCTGGAGTATCCGCTTATTGCAAGTTTTTTGCATCAAAATGACTTAATATGCCCCCTGAATGCAGGTTTATTCTACAGTAAATGTGGGAACAAATTTAGGGACTCGACTGATGTCCACTTAATAGGGGGTCTACTTAATACAGGTTTCACTGTACACAGTAAAAAATAATATTTAACCACAGTCAAACACAAAGGGCTTGTCATTTCAACAAAGTTAAGAAAGTAATAATAGTAAAAACTGGGGTCTACACATAATACTAATGATTTTAAGACCTAATCCAACATGTAACTTACCGGTAAATAACATTTTTGAAAATTTAAGGTGGCTTTGAACCCCATGTACAGAATTTTTTAATACTTTGCCAAGAGTTGCATCTTATCGTGCTCATCAAAATTTGTTAATTAAAAAGGGTTTCACCATGCCGCTTTTCAAACGTAATTATAAAATTAAGAGTGTTTTCAGCAGGTCATACTGTTGCAGCTATAGTAACATATACTGTAGTGAAATGAAAATGATAACAACCTGTTCACCAGCGATTGGGCAGTTTTTTGACATCATGATGTAATATATCAAACATGAAAGACCGTGTTTGACCACATTTCCAAACACCGAGAAGAGAGTTGAAAATACGACGCATAGCAGAGTATTTTTGACGAACTTCGAGGTGTTTGGAAAAGTGGTCAATCACTGTATTGAGTGTTTGATATATCGTCTCAATCGAAACTAAAACTAAGGAGAAAACTGAAAAATAAAATCGTAAAAATCTATGCTAATTAAGATCAGATATCCAAACACAGTCATGGTCATGATTTCTTAGATTAAACTTGATGAATTATTAATGAGTTTGAGAATGTAGTATCAACTGATAAAGAGTGGTTACAATGACATCTTGGGAAGTGCTGGAAACTGTTTTGAGCCACCTTAAATAACACAAAAAAATAACTAACTCCAAGTTTCAACTCATACAGGCTTCTATGAAATGAAAACTCTAATATACATGTAGTTGCAAATGTTGTGAAACTATTTCTAATCCATGTAAATATATTAAGCTACCTTAAGGGCAGCATATCTGTAAAATTTTCAACAGATCAATTATTGAACAGGCCACTAATCAATTAGTTGACAAGAAGACTTTAAGTGGCTTGTGCTTTTATTGAAGGAATTCAAATGTACCCTAGGAGGGGTTTGTAAAAAAAAGTGTGAAAATAAAGTCACATAACTTTTGTGAACTCATTCTGTGTGCAGTACCTATGAACAAAATGTTTTTGAAGCCAGTTTGAAAGCAAATGAAAAAGTCTTGACCCAAGCCTGCAAATAACAGTCAGTCATCAGACAATTGTCTGGTAAATTTGAGGTTTTGACAGGTAAAAGCTTAGCCTGGTCGGACACTCCGACCGGGCATTTCTGCTAAAATAAAAAATATTTTAACTGGAAATTTGTGGCCGAATATGGGACAAGTTATCTTGTTATACTGCCACACAATACTATGCAAAAAAGCTTTGTTATCGGTTTTGTTTTTATTTCAATTCTGAGAATTTTATCACATACGCCGTCTCAAATGTTATGTTGAATTGTAAACACATCAAATCAGCGCCACTATTCCTGCGTGTTAATTAACGCATTTTGCAGTGGCCTTGTGAAAGATCGTGAAGCCCCATTAAGTCTGAATTACGTTCTTCTGAAAAACTACTTAAAACTGAGGTCTTATGTAATTACTCGTTGTTTGTTACCATCGAGTGTTGTGAAATTAATTTTCAGTCGTAATACATTGACCCAATTAAAATATTATGGAAATTGAATACACGGCCCAGATTCTCATGTTTCGTTTATCTGAATGCAATCGCTTCCAAAAACTTTAAAACCTCTAAACTGTAACCAAATGTTTTTCTAGTCCGACTATGATCAAAAATCAGTTTAATTTTTAACCCTTTATAGTTTTTTAATGGCTGTCAGTGTGATTGAAATATAGTTTCTGTACCACAGGCATGTTTTTGTGAAAAGCGTGAATGTATAAATTAGTCACGCTTTATAGTCACGACCACGTTGCAAATGCTTGTGTGACTAGGGGTATAAATGTTTGTAAATTGTCAATTTTCAACAGGTAAAATAATACTAGACGTAATGTAAAGGTCCCCTTGCTGGTGCTAGTAGTGATTTTACACTCAGTTGACTTTTAAGCTATTTGAATTTGCAAACAATATTTTGGCGAAGAGTCTACACTGAAATACCAAAATGTCTCAAATGTCTCTTTTTAATTTCTAACGACAAACAATTTTTTGTGTCCGACCAGACTGGCTTTTTGTCAGGTCAAAACTTGTCTTTGTTCTGACAAATGACCTGCCTACAGACAAAAATTATTTCCAGGCTTGTTGACCATGCTTTGTTCTGTTATGAAGTACTCAATGAAGTGATGAGAGCACTAAAAAGGCAGAGAGGAACACCGCACCGTTATACAAGCAGTCACACACACACACACACAAAATTATCAGCTAGCACAAGTGCCTATCTTGTCATTCTTTAATCTTACAAGTACTTGACCTAAAAATAATTTAAAAAGGAAGTTGTAAAATAATACCTTTGGCACAGGAAGATCATAAGCAGAAACAGAAATGTTAGTTCTGATTTCTGCTGGAACAAGCAGTGTCTGCTGACCTTGTATCCTAGGGCAACCTCTTGAACCAGCAGTGCGGTTCTGTGGATGATATTGTACAGACTCAATTAAAACATGCCACTACTTTTCTCACAGCAAAATTAATTAGTTTGATTAGTTTGGTGGCAAGCATACTAGTAGTGGTTGTGAGCCTTTGCATTACTTTGATGGCAACTGACAAGCTCAACTTCAATGCATTTCCATTGCACCAGCAGTTGTGGACTCTTCCTGTAACATAGCTTTAAGCTATGAAGTACTACATTCGAGGTTAAATAAAGTATATGTGTGTATGTGTGTGTGTGTATGTATGTATGTAAGCATGCACAGAGGATTGATAAATACATTGAACAGTCCACAAAATGTGGTAAATAGCTGTAGATCCAAACTGTTCTTTTAGCACAATTTCAAGAGGTGAATATACCTGTAAAAGAAAGGAAATTCTGTTTTATTCGGTTTCGTTTTTGTACTCTGAAGTCAATAATTAAGTCAGTTTTGTATATTCAATTTTCTCAGCTTTTGTCGCACAGCAAAGAAAAAAAATATAATTTCTTGTTTTCTTATCAGTTTTATGCATCAAGTTCAGTTCTTTTTGTCGATATTTTTTAATATTTTGGCCCTTCATTTATTCAACTTTAAGTAAACGTTTTGAAACCTGATCTTGTGTCTGTGGTTACTGTGCATATGGTTTATTTTTGTGCTTTTGCTCACTCAAAAATATTTTTAAAAACGCCAGGAAATTAGGGGTGGGTGTCAATGGGTTAACTAGAACACGTCCGTGCAACTCATGATGTTTCATCAAGGCACAAAAACGTTCGTCTGTAAATACTGCTCAGTTTTGTTTGAGTGAAAATCCAATAAATTCCTGGTTGCTGATGAAAGAGAGTGCCCGCCGATGCGTGTTTTGTAGCTATAAACATGACAAAATGGACTTGGACTTATACTCTTTCGTGAAAAAACATACATTGAACTCAAACAATATCTGTAGCTTTAAATATGTTTAAGACTGATAAATGTTTCAGAATATATTAAAAGTTTTGCTGGAATTATTGGGAAACAGCAGGGATAATCAGCAAAGCTACGGTAGTGCTTTCTTTGGTCAAGCAGAATAACGATTTAATTTCAATTTTGTTGTTTGAATTGTCAAAGCTCCTTGTCTATTTCAATTTCGCAGTATAAAATTTCACTATGTTGAAGAAACAGACATGATATTAGTAGTCTTATAGCATTGGCAATAATTGTAGCAGCATCTCAGCACAAAGATGGCGAAAAAAATCTCTGTCAACATTGACAATAGAGGACTCAGGAGTTCACACTCTAAAGGGCATTATGGGCAATCAGGGCAAGATTGCAAAGAAACTAGGCCACAAAATACACGCTTTTCTTGATATTTCCATTCCAAGTTTCATTTTCAAAAAGAAATTTTTACTGTAAATAGAGAAACCCCTCATCTACATTAACTAAAAATTTTTGAGTTGACTAAGCTAAGCAACAGCCTACTTATCAGAGTAACAGAGTGGTTATTTTTGTGGCTCGAGCAGCCAAGACTTGATGAAATCATTCGGTTTTAACTGTAAAAAAATTCCTGTGCCCACAACAATTACCCAATTGGCTCAAAAACACTGGTAAACCTAGAAAAGAGGTTTCTTCATCTATGGTATATGTTTCATCTCCAAATGTGAAATCAGAACAGAAATATAAATATAAACATTTGTTTTACAGCTTTGCCTCTTTGTAAATTTGCCTCAATCACCCATAATGCCTCTAAAAGCGTGAAGTCCTCTTTTGAAAACACTGACTTGGACTTGAAAGTGCATGCGCTGCACTATGCAAATTAGCTACATTTACGCATCAGATTTTCCTTTCAAAAACTTATACAAACTCGCCAAACAAGCAGAAAATATAAGAAACTATTGAAACAGATTTTGGTTATGATTAAGCATTTTTCTGAGAAAATCACAAATTAACTCGATACCAGAGTAGAGAGTTTTCTTGTATAGACTTTATTCAAAGGTCAAAAACTTATGCGTACAACTAGTGCAAGCACAGGGAGCACACAATCTTGTTGAGTAAGAAGAGAGTAAATAAAGGAATGAAAAGAATGATTAGTTTACCATTGTCTCCTGTTGTCATCTCTTACCCGACCTTATGGGGATAACTGCTATTTACATGTCCTATGAAATGCTATAGCACTAAACTTGTACCATCATGCAATCTGAATATTTGCTCAAATCTCTAAATTTCTTTATTTTGCTTCCACGACACCAAACAAACACAAAACGAAGTCGAAAGGTTTTTCTACAACTTGGCCGAATTTGTTTTTCAATACTTTTACAACAGTGGGAGAATTTTAGTGTCTTTTGCAAAGTTTTTTTCAAATCACTTTTCGCAACATGATCCTACCGTTACCCTAATTCCCTCCCTCTCCCACACATGCTTTTTTAGAACAAACTGCACCACCCTGATGACATATATCTGCGCAGATCCACACACATGTCGTGGGTTCTTGCATGGATGTTTTCATGTTGCATGATCAATGGCAAGAGTAGCGAGATTCTCTTACAGTTTTTTCACAGCAATGGCAGGGAATGAGAACCAGGTCCCAGTTGTTTGAAAGCCAATTAATGCTAACCCATGATTAAATCGTCCAAATCCACGAATAAATTTATTGTTCGATTTAATTCTGTTCCTCGATGCTCGATTAGCACTATACCAGGGTCAAATTTAACACACCTAGCAAGGTGGACTAACTCGCTAATAGGGTGAAAAATGGGACAACAAATCAAAATGGCAGACTTGCAGTTTGTTGATTTTGGTTTACCGTACTATATTTTACGCCAAGTCTCTAGAATTCCGATAAGTCAAGTAGACTTTTAGCGAGACAAGTCATGGCGACTCGACTCGACTCGAGTCGCCAACTTTTGCTATCCTCCCTCATAACTGTACTGTATTTTACACTAAGTCTCTAGCCATTAGCCTTCCAATCAGTCGAGTCAACTTTTAATGAGACAAGATGTGTCGACTCAAGTCGAGTCGCCAATTACCATACATATTCTTTATACAAAATTGCTATATTTTACACTAAGTCTCTCACAAATAGACTTTTGGAAAGTCAAGTCGAAAGCTTCCTTAGATGACTCGACTCTAAGTGGGTATATTGGACAACCCTCTCCAATATGGTGACCACTATAGCAATCAGAGGACAAAAGTGAGCAAAGTATGATTAGATTTTACATTAACCCATCTCTCAAGTCATTGTTTCGCTCACCTTGCATTCTTAACTTTAAAAAATGTTTTTTGATTTGAAATTTCACTAACAAGACTACTGAGGTTAATTTCACTTGCCTACCAAACCACCACACTTCCATTTCCATTCACTTGCCCAAGAGCAAAATTTACTTGAGGGAGCAATCTGACCAGGGTTTTTTCCCTGCCCTGACTCCATAAAAAGCCTCTGGTTGTCGTTGGCTTCACCTTGTGCAAGGACCTGGGTATCCCTTGGGTGGATGCTGTGACTTAACTTAACTCTACTTTGATCACAACAACCACCACTAGGATATGTAACTATAGTGAGACAATAGTATGGCAGATTTGTGAGCATTATTTTTGGCTTTTACAGAAACAAGTTTTAGCCTGAATATACAACATGTTTGAAGTAATGTGTACGTACTTGTTTAGGCATCACAAACTCCCTAGGGCAATCAGCATTTCCATCACTGGTGCATTTTCCCAGATATGTACACCAGTAGCATTGATAATTTCCTTCTGCACAATTTGTACACCTAAATCAAGGAAACATTTCACTCAGTTACTGCACTAACCATGAACACATAAAGAGGATGGGGAGTTACAAAGTACTGTGTAAAATTGATGTGCAATGTTAGTAATTTTTTGGCTATACATAAGTATATTGTTTAAGGTGTACTGTACAAATATTTTCATGGTTATGGAGTTAATTTAGGAAGCATATGAAGTTCAAAATTCATATCTTTTGTGACACTGAATATGAGTTATGGATATTTCAAATGTTTAGGCACAAGTTTGATAACAGTAGTTTTTTGTTGCCACCCTTGCACAATATCGCCCTTTCGTTCTCAGGAAAATGTGACCAGGAAAGCGAAAACATGCACTAACGTTTTACCATTTTATAGGAAAAAGCGTATACTTTCTGTTTAGTGTCCATTTACTATCTGTTTAGAATGGGTCATGAAAACCATTTAAAGTTTTGTATCATCCGTTTTCAAACTCAGGATCTGCACAGCATTTTCTGAAAAATGTTTAAACGGTTAGCTTATCCACTTTTTTTGAAAAAAAGTGGGATCCGTTTAACATTCTGGGAAGAAGGATCAGTAGCTGTATTTCTTTTCTGCAGTTAGTATTTTAGTCCTGGTGGTTTTTTCACTGTATTTTTCAAGTCGTGTTCATGAACAGAACAATTAATTGTTGTCCCAGTTATGTAACAAAAGCATGTCATCTTACATCCAGACCAAACAGGCCACATATGGTCCAGAATCAAAACTACTAGAATTAGAAACAAGCGATCGCAAACGATCAAAAAAGTAAATCGTCTTGTATACATGTGCTTTGGGATGATGTAATTTGTTTTCGCCTGGCCAGAAAGTCTCACTCCAGTCTGCATTGGGACTGCATTCCCTTTTTTGTTGAATACAACCAGAGTAAAAAACCAGTTCATAGAAAACCCCAAAACGTCAAAAACAACAAAAGAAGCAACAAAAGAGAACAAGAATGACATAGCAGATGGACACGAAAACAAAGCCCAAAGCCCCTGAAAAAACCTGGAGGGGTGGCTAATTTGCAGTCTTCACAAAATATCTTGATTTCTCCCAGCTGCAGACAGGCCAAAACAACATTACGATGTGTTCTCTCATTCCTCGAGAACGCAATGAAACATTGACAAAAAATGCAAAATGCCAGGTAAGCTTAAATTCATCCTGTTACATGTAAGTTGAATTCATCCATCGTCATCTTTACGATGTTGCTTAAGCAGATTGTGCATCACACCAACTGTTAAAACAGTAGAAACAAAACATCCAACACAGACTAAAATCTCTGCCAATCTACTCTAAGAATTTATGCCCAGCCTGTTTCATGAAGTTCAAATAAGTGTATAAATTTTTGTAGAACTCTACATTTCCACTTAAAAGTTTTTTTTTTGAATAAATTAGTTGGTAGCCCTAGGAAATGAGTACATCTGTGGAGGCATACAGTCACCATAGCAAATAAAGCACAGAGAGGAATGTTTATGGTTTTCTATCATTGAACATTTTTGTCAATTCAGAATACTGTTATTATAAAAATACACACATTTCTAAGTAATAAACTCTCTGCCTCTACTGCTCTATGATCATACATTTCTACATAATGAATTCTACAGCTCTTCAAACACTCATTTCTACATAAAAAAAACTCTATACAGTTCTATGATCACATAATTCTAAATAATGAACTCTACAGCTCTACGGCTCTATGGCTCTGCAATCACACAAATGGATGCCATGGCACTACAGCTCTATGATCACACATTTCTACACAAATTATAAACTCTATGCCTCTACTGCTCTACGCTCACACATTTCTACACAATAGACTCTATGGTTCTTCTGCTAAATGAACATACCTTTCTACGGCTCGGTTGCTCTATGATAACACATTTCATTTGCCCTTTCTTACTATACCTGTACATGTATTTTGTTTTGTGATTTACAGCGCAATACCTCTTTTACTGGCTTTTGTTTTCCTATTTAAGCATACATCTGTTTACATTCTGTGGAATAAAAATTCAACTGAAAAGAAATTATGGCCACAAATTTAAGTGAAGAATCAAACACGTAATCACTGCTTATAACAGGTTTCATTGAAGTTCTGCTCAATGACCTGTCGCTGATTATCAAGGACATCTTCTTCTGTTGCTATTCTGAGACTGTAGAATAGCTGTTGATGGATTTAAGATTCTTGTGTCCCAACAGTGGGAAGATGCCAAGAGGATTTACTTTCACGTGTCTCAGCGTTATAATCATCATGAGGCAAGCAGAGTGGTTTTTATGCCTTCCCTCAAGATTTGCCATGGCAGTCATCATTTTCATAAAGTTACCCAGCAAGTGCACTCCAAGTGGCTGTTTCTTAAACCAGATAGTTCCTTTGGCATTTTACATCCCTGTCAAGTAAAATGGGTTCTCTGGCTTTTTCATTTCAGGTGGCCACCTGGTGAGATAACTCTTAAAGAACTTTACAGGACATCTTTCATTGCCAGTCTCATAGATCCGAGGATTGAAGTACCTTTCAGGACTGAACTCTTTGGCACCAGTTCTTGTCTTGGAGCCTCTTTCAGTGTGCCAGATGATATGTGACCCTCCATACGAAAACACGTCTTATGAAACATGGAAATTTGGGTGAAACCGGGTTTCAAAAGGGTCTCCAAAGGGTTTCAAACTCCCGAAACCGGGTTTCCAAAGGGTTTCTAAAGAGTTTCAAAGGGTTTCCAAAGCGTTTCCAAAGGGTTTCTAAAGAGTTTCAAAGGGTTTCCAAAGCATTTCCAAAGGGTTTCAAACTACTGAAACCGGGTTTCTAAAGGGTTTCCAAGGGTTTCTAAGGGGTTTCCCTAAAACCGCACCTCACGCAAATATGCAAATGATGCATGTCGTTGATCTCGCATGTAAACAATAACCTATTGGCGTTTACATTCGCAAATGTCCGCAATTTTCGCCCTTAAACTTAGGAGAAGTTTTACATGCATTATATCTTTTGATCTTTCCACAACTATAAACAAATCAGTACCGAGTCATGTGGCAAAATAACATTTCTGCAAAAAAAAAAAAATTAACATGCAGTGCTGTCGCGCATACGCCAGCGAAAGCAAACCAGGAGAATATTTTTCCCCCAGCACTTTCAAATCGGGTTTTCAAAGAGTATTCGGAATATTTCGAAGGGGTTTCCAACGTGTTCCGCATTCCAAAGAGTTTCAAAGCGTTCAAAAGGGTTTCCAAAGGGTTTCAAAGCATTTCAAAAGGGTTTCAAAGTGTTTCAAAAGGGTTTCCAAAGGGTTTCAAAAGGGTTTCAGAAGGGTTTCAAAGCATTTCCAAAGGGTTTCCAAAGGGTTTCTTCAGGGTTTCAAAGTGTTTCAAAAGGGTTTCAAAGTGTTTCAAAAGGGTTTTCAAAGGGTTTCAAAAGGGTTTCAAAGCGTTTCCAAAGGGTTTCCAAAGGGTTTCAAACCCTCTGAAACCAGGTTTCCAAAGGGTTTCAGAGCGACCTCAAACCCCCTAGAAAATGCTTTTGTCGATAAGACATGTTTCCGTATGGAGGGTCACATATATTCATGTTTCTCCATTCCTTTTTCTCTTCATAACTCCAGGTCACCCATCAGAACTTTTCTGTGCTCACCTCTGGCCCTCCAGCCTAAGTGCATGGTGTTATTAAGCCACACGGTACCAGTGAGAGCCTCTGAAGAGTGATCACTGAGTTGGTTTATCAACCAAAGCATCTCCAATTCATCTTATTAAGACCAAGAGCTTTGTTTGGATGGCATCTTTCCCTTCTCAATGTAACTGCTTTCGCTTTGATTCAAGCGTTTCTCTGGACTTTGCAAACTCTTTATCCTTGAACAGGCAGTAGTGCTTACCAAGCTCACTCAAATGGCGACCAAAACTACACTGGAAAGACGATAGCATACCTGGCTCAAACTCAATGCAGTCTTGCTTTCTTACATTAATGAAAAAGTGATAGAGGTTTGTCAAGCTCATTTGATGGGACACTCTCCATTGCCTGTACTTCTCCAACAAAGGAACACCATCTTTTCCAGTGGTTCAGGTCAGATTTGGCTTTCTTTCCGTGTTTATGATTTTGTTTTTCTCAATAAATTTTCGATACTTCTCCGACAGAGGAACGCCATCTTTTCCAAACGTTCAGGTCAGATTTGGTTTTCTTTCCGTGTTTATGATTTTGTTTTTCTCAATAAACTTGCCTATTTCAGCATCATTCAATGCGGCTGCTGTTTCAAAAGTCGAAGGGGTCGCTTCACTTGTTGCGCCTTTTCCATTAAGTTCTTTGTTAAAAGCCAAAGGGTTTTCAAAGTATAGGTCAAATTTGTTGTGGAGCCATGGAGCCATGAAGTTCATTATTTAGATATGTGTGATCATAGAGCTCTAGAGTTCATTATGTAAAAATCATCGTTGATGAACAGACCAAACTCCGTTGGTAACCATAGCAACATGCCACCGTTTTATGTGTACACGTAAGAGAAGAAGTACAAAGTGATCGGTGATAAAAGCGTAGAGGTGTAGCACTCTACGAAAACTTCTACACCTATTCAAGCTTCATAAAATGGGCTGGATATATCTGCATTACGCTAAGGCATTTTGAATAACGAAAAAGAACAAACAGAAACAATACTTGCATTCGTAGAACACAGTCCTAAAGCAGACTTGAGCCAAGTTTCATGGGAAGGTTAACCTTGGTGCAATCTTGCGACACCGATTTGGCTGCCCGCAACAGGGGCGAAGATGAGTGACATCGTGGCCAAACCATGTGCTGTACATTTTGTGTCCATCTGCTAACGTCATTCTTGTTCTCTTTTGTGGCTTCTTTCATTGTTCTAGACGTTTTGAAGTTTTCTTTGAACTGGTTTATCACTCTGATTGCATTCAACAAAAAAGGGAATGTACTCCCAATGCAGACTAGAGTGTTTTTGTTTTTGGCCAGGCGAAAACAAATTACATCATCGCAAAGCGTGTATATACAACATGATTTGCTTTTTAGATTGTTCGCGAGCGCTTGTTTGTTGTTTTGATTCTGGACCATGAGTGGCCTCTTTTGTCAGGGTGCAACATGACATGCTTTTGTTACATAACTCTTGGCTTTGGGATGTTAACCATGTGAACAGCTGTATTTCATTGACTATATTTTGATTACATTAAACAAATTTTGTTGACTTCAATTAGTTAGTTCCAGTGGCCACAAATAGTTCCGTATCCAGCCAAGCTCAAAATTGAATTGATGGAAGAGTATTCTGAAGCCAAGATCTATAAGAGTAAGCCAGAACTAAGAAACAGCAATGTAAATGCTGACTATTTCTATTCATCAGCAGAAATATTCGAATCAGTTGCCAGTTGCACAGAAAAAAAAAAAACGATAAACCATGGATAAACCGGCATGTGAGTGCAAATGCTAGATGATATTTGTGCTTCTAGCTTAGAATACTAGATGTAACACAAGTGTACTTTTAAAAATTAGCCTTTATGCCTAAAATTACCAGTAAAAGTAAAAATGAGATTTCAGCATGAATTTTGAAGGCAAATGTTCTATTAAACTTGTGACTTACTGAAACTGGAGCCATCATGCAACATGTCAACAATAAAGCAAGGAAGTCAAAATACAGTCGAACCTCTATTAAGGGGCCCCCTATTAAGCAACCCTCTATTAAGCGGCCCCCTATTAAGCGGCCAACTTTTATTTGGCAGCCAGCGGCCAAACTTCTGCAAAAAATTGTCACTATACACTGTAATAAAAATCTCAATTCAACGGCCACCTCTATTAAGCGGCCGCAGTCAGCTTGCTGTCCCAAGGGTGTATTTGTTTTGTTTTATACCCCTATTAAGTGGCAAGTTAGGGGAATCCTTGTTTACTATATTCGCCTCATTAACATAAGCAATTCAGTTTTAGATGGAGCTACAAATAAATCAGTTCTGAATATTGAAAGGTCATAGTACAATTAACTCCACCAATGAATATGAGCCTGATGTATTGAATACTTTTTGTGCAACAAGGGTTTAAAAACTCACATTTTACAAAGAATGTATGAGTTCATTGGGGGCTGCTATTCGCTAAGGCCATAACGCCATAAGGTGTAAACTTTAATGTTTGTTTAATTAATTAATTTCAATTAATCAATTAGCCTTGTGGGAAGGGGGGCTGGGTGGGGTAGATACCCGAGTGCATTACGCAAAACGTGTCATACTTACCGGTACATTGCTTTCTTTGATAACACGGCAAAAATATATGTGTGGTTTTGCAAATCTCATGCTATCCTTGTAGTGCCATTTTCTTAAGCACAAAAGCAATTTGCTCCAAATGCATGCACAGATTAGTTAGCTTCAAAGTCAACTATATGTTAGGTGAAAGATACATTTCATTTCACGGGACTACTCACAAACGTTGAGTGCTTTCCCTTGTGGTAGAACATAATATGTAAGATGCATGCGTTCTAGCATTGCTAGTGTGATAAACTAGGTACTAGGTTATAAGCGATCTTATGACTCCGACTAAGACTCTGACTCCCACTCCGTCGCCAGTGACAACCAGCCTTAAGAACATCACTAAAGGATGTTTCTGGCTGGAAGCAACATGCGAGTCTTCTTTGTAATTGATATGAGCTCTACTGTTTAAGTAATTAAAATGAGCATTCACTTTTTACACTTTTTGCGCATGTCTCTCAGTACACGGAAGAACACCCCAAAGAATATTTTCCATTGTGTATTGAAACAAAAATTTCAGCAAGTGACGTGCAGATTTTGAGTTTGTTTTCAGTGACTTTTCAACGTTTGTTGCTGAAATTTGGAGAGAAAGTTGCCTGATAATCAGGCAAAAAAACATGTTGGGGAACTTTTATGCAGGTTTTTAGAGGTGCTATCAGATCCTATATTCATTACTATATTCGGAAAACATTTAAATGTTTGATTTTAATGAATAAAATCATACGTTCAAAAGCTTTGAGAAAATATATACTTTACTGGGGTTTGCGGCCAACATTCAACCATAAAGAACTTCCGCATCTTCATCCACGACAGAAAAACATAAAAAACTGCAGTGGTCATATAACAAGAAGCTTAATGACTGAGTTAGGCCAGGCTGGAGAGGAAAATACTTGGCTCTTGATCATTGGACATGACCCCCACTACACTCTGTCTGTGCATCCTGACCTCAAGCCAATGTTTTGTCCACCTGGCTCTCCCAATTACTATGAGGTCATCTCCATCCCACAACCCCCCCATACAATCAGACAAAAATGATTCACCATCAATAATTTCTTATTCCACACCCTACTTGGCAAATAAGAAATTCACTTTATAAAAACCACCTGATTATTTATATGTAACAGCCACTCAGAACAGAGCATGGTTCCAGAGCATGGTTCTAGATAAATGAGGAATCTCAGGCCGAAAATCTGTCAAGGACAGCTACATGACAACAGAAAATTTATAATGATTTGGTCAGAGCAGTGCAAATTGACCTGTTGCAATTTTTTGACGCCCTGCCTTGAAAACACATTTGCAAATTTGAAAGCAATAGTTTATTCTCTTCATTGTGTGACATATACTTACCCTTTAGTGTCTGAACAGCTATAAAATCCAAGTTTCGTGGTAAGAAAAATTGTCTGAGACTGGGTGGAGAAGAGGGCAAGATCAACAAAGACATCACCTGAAAATGACACATCAGTGATCAACCACATCTGACGATCAGACAGTATTTTATTTTGTCTGCATGTTATTGTGTTATCTACAACAAAGCAGCTCACAGTCAGGACAACAGTGCTTTAAAAACTGCTTTTAAAGTTTAAAAGCAAGAGAATTGATAACAAACAGCCATGCCTGGTTCACAGATTACTTCTTGCTTTTTTAAAAAGCAAAGGAAATATAGTACAGACTTCTTGTCAGTGAAATAATACAATACTGTTTAGCAGTTTTCTCTTGTGTGAACATGCCTGGGCTGCCTCGTGTCACTTGTTTAGTCCAAAGAAATCTACTGCAAACCAAACAAGTGTAATGCAAGTGGGTAAATGTAAAGAATCCGATCCTACCGACGCGTTGGCTGACGTGTTGGCCGACCTGTTGGCCGACGTGTCGGTCGACTGTCAGGCAACGCGTCGGCCGACTGTTGAGCAACGCATCGACCGAGACTTTATCTTTATTTATTAAGCTAAACTTTATTGAGTTGGTCATTGACTTTTTCAAACTTGGTGGCTCCTAAAGGAGCCATTTTTTTGTTGTTGTTGACAGAGCCCTCTAGGAATAGAAGGCATCCTCCAACGCCAGCGGTAACAGCTTCTTTGCAACGCAAAGTCGTTTCACCAACGGCAACAGATCACCCAGCTGCCTTCAACACTCCTGCTCGATCCTTTTCACTGAAAGTTTCGGGTCTCCCAGCCTCTCCAAGGTGCTTTNATATATTCGTGAACAATAATAATAGCATTGAATGTGAATGAATATAAACTTTGTGAATTTTGCACCATTTTGCCAACCATAGTCTTGTTATTAAGAGAATAAACTCCTCATTCAATTCAGCCACTTAAAGGGCATTTAAGACATGTGTATAACAGATAGTCTAAAATGTTAGTCTTCAACTGTACAAGAAAACTGCTATAAGAAGAAATAATCAGAAACAAATTATGAACTGCCACAGCAGGCTCACATCTAAGAAAGCATGAGTTCTCAATACCAACACTGTGTATTAGACAACTTGTTTTGGGAGAAAAATTGCAATTTCAAAAGTTGGTTCATTTCTTTTCAGATCTCACTTTTGAATTTTCAGCTTCAAGCAAGTTTCTTCCCAATGTAAAAGAGGAAATCACCGTCACAAAAATTTTACCAGCACTGTTCTTTGGATAAATTCCACTCATGGAAGTTTGGGAGAACTCCAAAAAGCAGTGGAAACACTAGCCTGTCGGCTTCTGTTCAGACAGCATTTCTCATTCACCCAAACTTCCACTCACGTTTCTATAACTCCATAGAAACACGGTGCATGTTTTCTATTTCTTAAATAATACACAACAAAACAGCTAATCATATAAACAACAAACTTCATTAACAATTCTGAAATACAGTAACATTTAAATGGAAACAGTAAAACATTAGTTCAGTTCATACCTGTGTTACTTGAAATGCTGGGCAGTTCTTCCTCTGGGGGTGTCCAACATTTAACTACATTTCCTGAAAGTAGACTTGTAACTCTTTCCTTACCATGAATATAGCACTTTAGCCCTGTCAAAGGTGGTAGGTTGGAGACTACTAATGTCAACTGTAGGAAAAGGTAAAAAAAGGCCTTGTCTTGATTCATGTTTACTACAGAATGGAGTTTAAAGAAGTGATGAGACTAAACCTGTTGTACTAGAGCAATTGTCAAGTAGAATACTTTTCTTCATTAAAATCTATTACAAAATGGCCCAAAGAAAATATGCATGCTGATTGGTTTAAAATTGTGTTTCTATAACTCAATAGAAATACAGAACTAGCATGTCCTGCTGACATAATGATGGTGTGAGCAAAGAGAATTTACATTTTGATTATCAAAGTAAACCACCAATCACCAATGGATGTTCAGCATTTGAAAACCCTAATTTTGTTTAATGTGGTAGTAAAATTATGTTTGTAATCAACTATTCTTAAAAGCATACTGGGGTCCATACTTCAACACTTGGGCCAAGAGGGACTTGTTCAGGTTTGATGGAAGCAAATTCCACACAATTAGACAAGCTTGTCACATATCGTAAGGGGTGTACATCAGCTTCTGGGCAGACATGCCTTTGAGAGCATCTGCAAAAAGAAATGACAAACATGATCTAAGAGTGCCAATCTGAGTGTCCTTCAATTTGACTTTTTCTTGCAAAGGTAAGCAATATGATACTCTTGCTTTCTTGAAAACATATGAAGAAGTAGTACAGGTACAGTGGAACCCCACCTTTCAGTCACCTCACCTCACAGCTGTGTTTTGTTTCCCAATCTAGGCAATATTAATTTTTGTTCTTGATTTCTCCGAAACACAAGCCACAGAAACTCCATTAAATTTTGCAGCTAAATTGAAACTTGCCTAGGTGTTGTTGAAATGGAAATTCTACTTCCTTGGTCAGGGCTGCTAACCTATGGAAATGTTGTTAACATTTCCCTTAAGCTTTCCTATTGACCCCTCCCCTTATATATCCCACCCATGTCATCTCCTTGCTCTCTGTCATCACCTAAGTCAAGTGGCCTGCTGATAAAAGATGACCTGTATTGAGCCAATAAGAAGACAAGGCCTTAAAAGTTCTTCCTTCGGAAAAAATAGGTCTGCAATGCATACTTGTGTGCCAAGTGTCCTTTTTGCTTTTTTGAATTTTACGGGTTGAGGAAATTAAACTGGGCTGCTTATTGGAAACGAGCTTCTTTATCGGGATAGGGTGCTGTTCGTTCCCCTTCTTCCTTGTGTTTTTGCCACCTGGTCCCTACCCCTTCCCCGGTGACACCTGCAATGCAGGCTATGTGTGTTAGTGTGTTTAGACAATAGGTAGTCTGCTTACAAGAGTCCATTTACACCACTATTACGTCACTCTGGACTGTTGTCGCATTGTTGTGCCTTTTTTTGACAAGAAGTATTTTCAGTTGTGAAAGATGTTTAGAGGTAGAGAGCCTTTTTTTACATCAATGAAGGTCTTTGGTGTATTATATGCAAAATAAAAATATTGTGCTACATAAAATCCCTGGGTACTGATTTGAGTAGTTCTAAAAATAACATGTACAGTAGAAAATACCGCAGAATTCCAAAAGTAAAGGCCCCCTAAAAAGAAACAGCTCCCTGAAAGTAACACTAGTATTTAAGCTTCCTATTGAACCCCGAGAGTAACGGTCCCCCCAAAAGTACTGGCCCACCCAAAAGTAACAGCCCTTTGAAGACGTCACTAAAAGAGAAACTCTGTGATCTTAAATTAAGTGTTGTTTTGACTGTCATGGTAGGGTTTTGAGTGAGATGTTGTTAGCTGTCTGTTACAAAAAATTGTCTAAGTCTAGTTCTAGAACAATCTAGAACCGGAAGTCATTCAGCCGTGACCAATTTGTATAAGAACATTCTAGAACATTCTAATCCTTAT